GTGCTTCGTGGACGTCTCGTGCGCGCCGCACGCGGGCCGGGCGCCCGCAAGCGTCGCGGTCCGTGCGTGCAGCGCGCGCGGAGGCGGACCGCGCAGCCGTCCTGCCGGCGTGATGCGAAGGTCCTGCGAGCGGGACGGGGTGGGCACAGAGGGGCCACCAAGGGTATTTTTACGTCGGGCCTGTCCCTCTACACAGGGGATACTCAGAAATAGTTTTCGCCCAACATCTTCCTGCAGGGGGGCGTGCCCGACTTAACTGTAGTTCGCACCCACTTTGAGGCCATCAGGCAGGCTCGTCTTGGGAAGAGGGGCCACCATGGGTAGTTCTAAGTCGGGCCCGTCCCTCTACGGAGGGGGATATTCAAAAGTACTCAAAAAATAGTCGGGGGACTATGTTTTGACTATTGTTGATGACTCGTTTTTTGTGGCATGTTTAAAAGATTTGTTTCGCCCAAAATCTTCCTGTATGGGGGGCGTGCCCGACTTAACGGCAGTTCGCACCCACTTTGAGGCCATCAGGCAGGCTCGTCTTGGGCAGAAGGGCCATCGCTTTCGCATCCAGCGTCTTTTTCGACGCAGCTCAGGTCTGGATCCGCATCACAGCGGCCCACGAGGCGGGCATTGTAGCCGCCTCACAACGGCCAATAAACTCAGAATATCTTCATTGAATCCATTCCATGCGTAGCATGCTCTCCTCATTTCAACCTCCTCCCCCTCCTCCTCCTCCTTCTCCTCCTCCTCCTCCTCCACTTCCTCCTCCTTTCAGGCTGTTTCGACTCTGTCATTCCGATTCTCCCGCAACGCAAGCTAGTCAGCACGAGGAGCGGGAGCGGAAGGAAATCGCCCGCGAATCGCAAGGATGCTGCGCCCGATTGCAGTTACCATGGATTTCTCATCCCCTTCGTTCCGAGGGCGCTTTGGGCTCACATCCTGGAGACACCTGGTGCCTAGACTCCCTGAACGCGAAGCACTATCGAGAGGTCTCCGAACCCATCCAGAGCGCGTGGGAGCTTCGAGTCGTCTCGGACGTCTTGCGTGCACCGCTGAACTCGGAGGGAGGAGAAGCGATACCAACACCACCAGGGGGCCCACCGCCAGCGAGGAGGTCCACGATGCCTCTCCGAGCTGGAGGCTGGGGACGTCTCGAGCGAGAGGGGGGGACCACACCACCAGGGAGTTCCCCCATTGTCTCCTCGCATCTCCTCGCCTGCTGGTGCTGGTGTCGCCTTCCCTTGTTCCGGTGAACCTGTCATGGCAGACGCCGCGCCCTGGAGCCCCTGGCGCGAAGCGCCTCTCCCGGGAGTGTTGCGTCGCGGGCAGCTTTCCCGAGGGCCGCAGGGTCCAAGATGGGCCCGCCGAGCCCCCGGTCCCGTCTGTCCGACCGTCGTGCCGTTTGGTTAGCTCGCGGCGCGACAGGGGTCTTGGTATCGCTCGGGCGCGTGCACTGTTTCTCGGCGGGGATTATTGAGGAGCATCCTGGACCATCCTGGAGCATGAAGGACCATCCTGGCGCACGAAACCGAAAAAGCACAGAGAATGGACGTCCGGGCGATGGCCAGGGGTTGCAGTCGACCCACACAGCAAGGATGGGTAACCTTCCCAAGGGTACGCACTGTAATGCTAGGTTGATACTGCGCTTTGCGGTGCTCTTCTACGCCATGCCATGCCGTGCTCTACAATGCATCGCGTACCCATCATTGCCCTGCTCGACATCCGACTGAGCGAGTAGAGAGGGGATCTGCGCCATGGTAAGGGATGGGAGGGAGGGGTAAAATGTCAGATATGACGCGAGCGCACCTAGCTTGTCCCCCCCCCCTCCTCCGCCTCCTCCCTCCTCCTCTTCCTCCCCCCCCCCCTCCTCCTCCTGCCTCCTCCTGCCTCCTACTCCTCCTGCCTCCTCCTCATCCTGCCGCCTTCCTCCTCCTCCTCCTCCTTCCTCCTCCTCCTCCTCCTCCTTGGCATCCTCCTCCTCCTTGGCATCCTTACCCCCTCGGTCCACCCTGTGCCACCGTCGTTGGCGGCGCCCCGCGCTCTGAGTGTCGCTACACGGCTTCCCGAGGGCCTCGCAGCCCCATCGTGCATCCTTCCGACACGGGTACACTGTGCGAGATCATCGCCGGTCGGTCCGAATAGGATTACGTCGGGCGTGTGCCCCTACAGGGGGATTTTCGACGAAAAGTAAAAGTACCCCAACAATACCCCAGAACGGCCAAAAAATAGTCCAACAATAGTCCCCAGACTATTTTTGGATTATTTTTTTGGCGTGTGTTTTATTTGTCGTCGAAAATCCCCCCTGTAGGGGGACAGGCCCGACTTACGAAGAGGAGGGGGGGAGGCAGAGGTGCTGCGGAGGTTGCTGCGCGCACCAGGTCCAGCGCTCCCTCCGATGCGCACGCCGTGGTCGCTCTGGGCGCCTCGAGGCGTCGATCGGACCGGCCACGTTCGGCGGCGCACCGGGGGGCGGAGTGAGAGGGAACAGCCTTTCTCTCAGGAGGGAAAAACACACAGACACAATTGATCGTCGATCCCCCAGAAAATATGGGAAGATCTGGGAAGTGCGAGGGGGAAGACAAAAACCCAGAAGATATGGTAGAATATGGGGAATCATGGTATTTGTGTGTATTTGCTTTTGTGTGTTTGTGGGCCCCTTAATTCTCAGAAGGCGGCGTGGCCTCTCAGAAGCCCTCTGGCCTTAGGAGCGGCCGGCTCTGATTTCCGCAGAAGGGCCAGACCATTTCTTCAAGAGGCGGGAGGCCTTTGAATTTGGGGGTGGACAGACCTCCTACCCTGACACGTCGACTAGCGCATTGGCCGTTTTCGGTTCGCGAGAGGGCGTCGCGGCCGTCATTTTTGCGGGTCCAGGTCCGTCGGCCTCGGTCCCAGGCCGTTTTCACGAAAGGGAGGTTTGCTAAAGTCAAGTGAGGTCTGTCCACCGCCGGATTAAGCCTTCTGAGAAGGCCCAGCCCTTCTGCACTCCCTGGGGCGCGCCGCCAATACATGCAGCTCATTCGTTGCCTCCCCATCCACGCAACTGATGCTCGCTCTAAACCGCTCCCGCACATGCTCCTCTAGACCCCACAGCATGTGATTCGACCACTCCGACCTGGCCGATGGACGCCGAGTGCCAGCGAGGGTGGCTCGGGAGAATTAGAATTGTCCAAAGAGCCCTGTCATGATGATCTGGTTTGCCGCGCGGCCTCCCTGATCGATCCTCGACCCCCGTGCCAGCCCCAGACATCCGACGCTCCAACTGTTTCCAGGCGTGGACCACGGAGGAGGGAGGAGGAGGAGGAGGAGGAGGAGGAGGAGGGAGGAGGAGGGAGGAGGAGGGAGGGGAGTAGAGGAGGATAGGATGATGAGGAATGGGGAAGAGGAGGGGAGGAGGATGGAGGGAGGTAGGGGATGAGGGAAGGGGGGCGGGGGGTGTGAGGGTGGAGGGGAGGGCGCGAGGAGCGGAGGAGGAGGGGTAGAAGTGTAGGGGAGAAGGGAGGAAAGAGCGAAAAAGGGAGGGAGGGAGGAGGGTGAGAGTGGCAGGAGGGATGTTTATTCTGTATGAGGTGATGTGGATGGCTGAGGTGAGGCCTGGACCACCGTCCCTCTGCAGTGGCCAGCTCTCCTCCTCCCGTGTAGTGTTAGGGGCGGCCCCGCAAAGGGCCCTGCACGGGGGGCCGCCCACCAAGGGGTCGCGAGGGTAGCCAAGAACCACCGGGCCCGTTCCACAGTCGTGCCTATCGCTCCACGCGCATCTCATAGGGGCAAGTTCCGGCGCCTTGCTTATTTTGCCCCGGAGGCACCCTTCGGGTGGGGGGGCACGGGCGCAAGGGAGGGGGGGGGGGGATGATTGGGACAAGGGGGGGGTTACGAAATCTGCTGCATGCATGCTGGTTTCCGGCCTCACCGAGGGGGCCCATTCCCTCGATAACACAATGGGCGCCCGACCCGAGAAACCCTAAAGTGGAGTCGGGCCTGTCCCTCCACAGGGGGGATCTTCAGAAAGAGTCAAGAAAGAGTCTGGGGACGATGGTTGGAGGATGTTTTTGTTGGCCGTTTTGGGGGATATTTGTCTGGGGCAAGTTTCATTTTTCGCCGACGATCCCCCTGTATGGGGGACACGCCCGACTCAACCCTAAAGCCAAAAATGTTTTCACCTCTTGGGGGCGCACTTGTTACTTCCGCCGCCCTCCGCCGCCGCGCTCCGCCGCCCTTCCGCCGGCGGAGGCGGCCCCGTTTCGCCTCCTCTGACCTTCCGCCGCCCTTCCGCCGCCCTCCGCCGAGGGAGAAGCGACACCTCCTGCGATCCTCGAAGGCGAGGCCCTCTTTCGAGCGCCCCATCTGAGCGCTGGGACCCCGGCTCCCCCCAGGCCAGGACATGCCCTTCTCCCCCTCTCCCCTCCTCCTCCTCCTCCCTCCTCCCCTCCTCCCTCCTCCTCGCTCCTCCTCCTCCCCCTCATCCTCCCCTGCTCCTCCTCCTCTACTCTCCTCCTCCTCCTCCTCCTCCCCTCTCCTCCTCCTCCTCACCTCCTCTTCCTCCTCCTCCTCCTCCTCCTCCTCCTCCTCCTCCTCCTCCTCCCCCTCCTCCCCCTCCTCCCCTCTGGGACGTCTTCACTTTTTCAACACGGGGCCCCTGGAAGCCCCGACCCTTTCCGGTTTCTCCTCCCGGACCGTCCCCTGACGGTCCCCGAGGCCCAGCAAAGGGCCCCCCTGAGGCGGCCGACGCGGGCCAGAAGCCTCCCGCCCGGGGAATGTCTGCCCGGGGGGGGGGGGATCCTGTCTGCCCCCCCCCCCCCAGTTCGGGGGCGGTAAAGAGGGGGGTGATGACGGGGGGGGGGGGGGAATCTCGTGGCGGGGGCCATGATATCTCCCCAGATCTCCTGGCGCCTCTTCTCCTTTCATCATGTTCCTGGCCCCCCCGCTGGGCCGCGCACGTGCCGCCGGTCATGATTTGCGCCCCCCTCTCCTCGGACACCGACGCGATCCTGTCTGGGCCCCCCCCCCAGCTGCAGGCGCCCGACCCAGCAGGCGCGTGGGCTCCCGCGGCGGCCCTGGGAGGCTACCAGGCGCAGGCCCCCCCGGACGCCCTCGCGGCACTGCCCGGGGCGGCCCCGGGGAGGAGCAACGTCCCAGGCCTCTTCGATGGGGTCGGAGTAGATGGGGTCGGAGGATCCAGCAGTTCTCGGCCACGCGGCTGGGACAGATACTTGCTTTTAGGGGCCGAGTTTCGTGACATAAGTTTCGGCTGACTCGGCAGCCGAGGGCGGATGCACAGAATTTTCTGCTTGGTGGAGTCTTCTTCCCATCAGTTGGGAAGCCGGCAGTCTTCATCATTCTGGGAAAAGGAGAAAAGAAAAAAAAAAAAGAGATGGGGTCGGAGGATCGCTCCGCATCGCCAGTGCATCGCCGATGCGGCTCGATGTGGAGCCCGATTTGCTGCACGTCTGCGTCGCCGATGCATCGCCCAGGTGGATGATGCATCGCCGATGCATCGCCGATGCATTGTCGATGTATTGGCGATGCGGCGCGTTCCTCCGACTCCATCTACTCCGAACCCCATCTAAGAGGCCTCTAAACGTCAGGTACAGCGACAGGGGGGGGATAGAGCTACAGTCGGGGCCCTGAAGAAGGAACCCTTTTCGTTGGGGAGGGGCTCCGTGTTCCTTAAGTGTTTCGCAGCTTGCCTTGGATTTTCCTTAGGTTTTCGATACGAAATCGAAGTTCAACTTATGGAAAATAGGGGCCTCGTTCCTTATTTAGGGTTCCTTAGGTCAACGCCTCGACTGTATGCCTATCCCCCCCTGTCGTTGCCCCTCATAAAGAAACGGGATGGGGGGGTGGAGTGGAGCAGGACGGGGGTGGGGGGGGGGAGGGAGGGACCCTGACCCCCTCGAGACAAGAAGAAGACACGGCCGGAGGTGTTCCGCTACATTCGGCCTCTGGGGGCCGTACTCGGCCTCGGGGCCGTGGAGAGACGCCTCGGGATGAAACATCTGTCTTGGGGAATGGCTCGAGACCCCCCCCAGAGATTCTGAGACCCCTCCCAGGAGACGCTAACCAGGCTGATTTTCGGCTCCCCCCCTCGCGCGGTCTACAACAAGGAAGAGTAATACAACAAGAAGCAGAACTATCACACTGGAAACTGGAACCTGCAACTGGCGCAGCCTTGTGGCCCTACAAGGGGGCTGGCGGAGATTCCTGTATATTTAAGTTGGTGTCCCGATGCTTGTCCCGATGGTTATCCTGTTGGTTGTTCCGTGGTCCCGATGCTTGTCCCGAAAGGTTGTCCCGAAAGCTTGTCCCGATGGTTGTCCCGACAGGTTGTCCCGATGGTTGTTCCGATGGTTGTCCCGATGGATGTCCCGACTGTTGTTCCGATGATTGTCACGATGGACGTCCCGATGGTTGTCACGTTGGTTGTCCCAAGGGTTGTCCCGATGGTTTTCCCTACAGTGGCGGCCCGACCACAAGAAGCTTCACACAAGAAACCCAACCCTGAGGCCCCAGGACGTCCATCGATTTTTGGTGTGGGAACGTCACGCTTTCCACGGCACAACCATCAAAACCAAAGAATCCCAGGGCACCTTGGAGGCAAGCAGGGTGTTTCTTGGCATGGGTCCCCACTGTATGGTTGTCCCGACAGGTTGGCCCGATGGTTGCCATGGTTCTCCCGACGATTGTGCCGGTGGTTGTCCAGTTGGTTCCTCCGATGGATGTCCCGATGGTTGTCCCGTTGGATATCCCCATGATTGTCCCGATGGTTTTCCCCGATGGCTGTCTGGATGGATCGAGAGATAATGATATTGGCATAGGAGGATAGTGGGATCGATATATAGATCGATCGATTGATCTTGAGTCCGATGGATATTGAGATCGATAGATCGACGAATAGACGTAGTGGGTAATCCCGATTGTTGCTCCGGTTGTTTATTCGGTAGTCAAGTAGTGAGATGGCCATATCGATTGATAGCGGGATCGGTAGGCAGATCGCGAGGCCAGCAGATAGTGAGACCGTCAACTATATAGTTACACATGAATATATATATATATATATATATATACACATGTAACTATGTATGTGTATAAATGCACATATGCGCAATAATGTATGGGCGCTTCGCGCCATGCTCCTTGTTTTTCGAGGCTTTGCTGATGTTGGTCGTT